CCCTTTCCCCTAGGTCTGTCTCCTTATTAACGTCTCTGTTGTGTTTCGGTTCAGCTTCATAACTCTTTTCGTAGCTTAGCTGTAGAAGTTTGACATCTCGGGTGGTCGCCCAAAAATTGTATCTACATCGTGTTGTCTTTGCTTAAATACCTCTTGAGGTACTGAAAAAAAAAATCACCTAATGAATGCAGACCAGATGCACTGCTTCCCCTCGTGGTGGGGTGCTTTGACCGCCAAACTGCCATCACACCCTGCTGCAGTCCTGTTTCCTCTGCTCATGCAGTGGAGGCTTATGGCTTGTTGGCAATGCCTTTAATTACTGCATGAGATATTCCCGGGTTTCAGGCCAGCCTTGCATATGTTTTTTAGTATGTTCTTGTGTTACAGAAAATTTGGTCTTCCTTTAATTGACAGCTAGTAGTTGTGCTTGAAAACAATGAATCCAGGCAGAAAAAATACTGTTTGAGACTGTTGAAAAAAGAATGTGTTTTTTATAGAAATAATACTTTGAAACTAAGTGTCCATATCTATATAACATTTGGCATTCAGTTATCTTTATATAATTTATGTAGCTGTGAGATGAAATGCAGAAAATTACGTTAAAATGCTCATATAGCGTTTGGGAGAAAAAACAATACGTATGAATCAGCAACAATATAATGCATCAGCAGTGAGAGACATTTCTCGTTTCTAAACCTGATCAATTTGATAGACTGTGTTAATTTTCTGATAGAGAAAGTAGCAGGGACCAGTTTTTGTTTTTTTTTTTTAATTTTGTGTCTGCGAGAGAGAGATATGTATCAGAGGTCCAGGGAAGGTTGTCTGGGATTTAAATGAAGGTGAACTGGATTCTCTGTCACACTTAAGACTGTTAGGGACCCCAGTTTTGCTGAGAATTGGACAAGAGGCAGAGGAGAAATCCCCTCATGATGTTATTCTCTCTCTATATTCTTTCTGAAAAGGGATCCATAAAGGAAAACCTGTCTATCCTGTAAGGAGTAGCACAGATGAAGTGCCACCTGGCTGCACAGCAGTGACTCCACAGCCGACGAGCAAGTAATATGTGTTTTTCTGCACCACTGAAACGTCAGTATCGCATCTCAGGAAACTCAGTTCTTTAGTAGAACACTGAATCCTTCCATTTACTTATAAGAATATTACTTGTTGCTTAGTTGCCTTTGGAGATACTGATTGATAGAAAACATATTTATAAAAATGGAACTGTTTCCCAATGCATGTGATATAATAGGGATTATAACTCAAAAAGGGAATGAGAAAAACAAGATGACTTCAGTTTCATTGTCCGTACAAACCTGTGTGCATACATTTGCTGAACAAACACTTAGGTAAGAACCTTCCATTTTAAACTTTGTGTAATCCAGGAAAGTGATAGCTAAGCACAGGTCTGATTTTAAATTTATCTTGATTTCACAGTGGTGTTACTATAGTCCACGCACCTTCTGTGCAATAGCTTTGTTTTCAGTGGAGTTCCTGAGACTGAGTCTGTGAGATTGTATCTGTTGAGAGAAAGATGGTTGGGATGAAAGAAACAGACCCAAAAGGAAAAGGAAATTTGAATTTAAAATTATCCTGTTATCGGGCCTCTTACAATGCAGTAGCAAAGCCCTTCAAGCTTTCAAGAACCAAACGTCTCCCCTCCAGAAGAGGTGCGGAAGAACAGTTAGCATTACTTGATGTGTCTGCTTGGGAGAGCAGTACTCTTAAATATCTGGCAAGGACACTTTATAACATCCTGTCTATTGAAAATGGGGAGACAGAAGAAGACCCTGTTCTCTGGCTCTTAAGAACTTTTTACTTAGGTATAGAAAGATGTCCTTGGGATGGCCTCGGCTTATTTTGAAGTCCCTTGTCATTATTGCAAAGAAGGTAACTCCCCTAAGGAGCAAAGCTGTTGGGTGTGGCTTTAGAGAGCTTGAAAATCAGGATTACTAGAGAAGGAGTTCTGCATTGCCTTGTGACATTGTAGTCTGTTCTTGGACTGCTTCAGGAAAAAAAACTGTGAAGATTTTAGAGATCTTGCAGGTGGCGACAGACAATGTCAACAGGATCGGATACGTTCTTAGAATCATTCCCCAGTGCTAACCTTGCCCAAGATCTGCCAGTGGAGTCCAGCAGGTTGTATTTCGCAACTTTGTGTTGACATCATAAAAATGGGCCAATCCCCTGATTTTTAGTGATAACAGAACCATTCAAATCTTTCCATTTTATACTATGTTTACGTGATGTTGTTGCAAAAAGTTGGAAAAAAAAGTTCTGATTATTTAAAACTTTGCTTTTGGAGGCAGTTTTCACGCAGTTTAAGAAAGGGTTTCCAGAACTTTGAGCTAACAGTTCTACAAGAGTTAAAATTGCTTGCATAATCTATGAGAATTAGACGCTTGTTTGCGTCAGCATCATAGCTCCAGTTTCAGGTAGTTTAAACAATAAAAATACTGAGACAGACTATAATCTGGCTTCAGGTAATTTAAATAATTGCAGGCTTGTGGGCTCTTGCAGGCTTGCGGGCTCTTGCCAGGTCTTGTTATACAGAGATTTAGATCAGTGATGATAAAGAAAGGATAAGGCAGAGCTGTCTTAATGGAAAGCTTCATATTAGCTTTTAGTCTTTGTGCAGAACTCTATTAACAGATTAACAGTGACGTAAAAACGCATATAGATATTACTTTGTATTTGCCTCCATAAAATTCACTTACCTTGAACAGAAAACGTTGACATATCTTACATGAAAAAAAATTCTTTTCAGTATTTTTCTTAACAAATCTGTCAAAGGATAATGAATTACTTACTCCTAAGCATTTTTTTTTTACCTCCAGTTGTTTAATAATAAGCTGAAGAAGGTTTTAAATAACATTTCTCATGGGAATGCTACAACTTTCTGTCCTTTCTTGAAATTCAATAGTTTTTATTAGCTTTTCTGATCAAAGGCATTTCTGTCTAGAGCTCATCAGTATTATCCTTGAATTTAAAATTGGTAAACAGCTTGGTGTTATGAGTTCTATCTCCTAAAAAGTTTGTACTGAGCTCTTAAATGTATATGTGTTTAGAGTCCTTCCCTGCCCCTTAGGAGGACCAGTAGTTCTGAGCATATAGCAATTTAATGTAGTATAGTTCTCCAGAAAGCAGAAATGTAGCTGCTTTTCTTTCTTACTAAAAGGAATAAGCTAGAGTAGCTTCATTACCCCATTTGACTGTATTTGCCAAGGTTCTCTAAATAAACTGTATTCCTTTATGCAGATATGTGTAAGCAAGTAAGTCTGAAAGAGCCTGTTTGGCATGCATGCATATGTTTGTACACGCATTTCACATCTTTTTTTCTAAATGGACTAATTCTTTTCTAAAAAAAAAATTGCTTGTGAAGGAACAAAGATGCTATGCATGTTAAAAATACTGAATTCTTCTGACATCCAAATCTACAAAAAGGTAATTTGTGTGTGTGTGGTTTTTTTTTTTTTTTGTTAAATAAGCAGAATTTTCAGGTTTTCAGCTAAACGTAAGCTGTCAGCTGGAAAAGGCTGTGGCTCTCAAGGTTGATCTTTATAACCACAATTCTTCAAACTGCTTATTCAGCTAATTAAAATAGTAACAAGGTGGCAAAGAAATGCTAATTTGCTATTTGAAAAAGATAAAAGTAGATGAAGGTTTAACCCTGGCAAAGCTGTGTGTTTTTGTTTTTTTTTTACGATGTTAGGAAAAGACATCTGAGAGATGTCTACACCTGATCAGCACATCTGGATTTGAGAAATTAAGCTATTTTTTGCATCACCTTTGTGTGCTGCTTGATCCAAGAGCTTAGGTTCCAAGTGTAACTGAGATTATTATTCTGTAGTTGTTAATACCAGCTCTCTACGCTGCTGGATCCCACAGCAGGACAAACTTGGTTTCACAAATTCAGACACACAGCACAGTCATAGTCTGTTAAATTTGCCAGGACATGATCTGAAGTTTGTCAGTGCAGTGTTACTTGCAAAAGAACAGAAGAAATAAAATCTCTTCAAAAACCTGTCTGAACAAAGCCTGTTTTTAGATGAAAATTTTGAGCTGGACTTGCCACTGAAAAAATAGCTTTACTGGGTGCAATTCCTGTTCCTGTTCCAACATAATTCCTTGCTTGTGTCAACTCGTTTGTGATGCTGTATAGGAAAGTGATTGATCTGGCACTTTTTTTTCTTTCTTATTTTTTTTAGGGGAAGAGTGAAGGTTATTAATTTTCAGATGCATTACTTTTCAGTTCAGTACTAAAAGCCCTAATGTCAGATGTATATTGGATCTGTCCTTTAAGTAGCTCTAAATTTTAGCAATTCTCTAGCTGCTTGAATTAGCCCGAGAATTCATTCTGGTTGTTGACAGTGCAGTGATGTCATGTCCTCTTTCAGGAAAAGTCCTTGCTCTTGCAGAATGGCAGGGCAACACAAAAATCCAAAAAAAGCATAATTTGGACAGGAAATATTTGCTAATTTACATATCTGGAAGAAAGATCTTATTTTTTGGATACTATTTCTGTTCCAAGATTGCACCACAATTTATTTCACAAGAAGTCTTATTCTTTTTTACCTGTCTTGAGGAAGATAACAGTTCATCTTGAAAACCTGCCCATCTGAAGCACGCTTTTTACATTCACTAGTAAGTTTCTGTGTTTTTGAAACAGTGGAAACTAACCAGAGTACAGGAGTTTATCAGCTGGCTTGCAACTGTGAAACTCACTTTTGAAGAGAAAAGGGTAACTCCATTTTGTCCTCAGGAATGAAGTGTGAAGCCTAATTCTTTAATAGCCTACGCTTGATAATATCAGAACCTAAATTCTATGTAAAAGACAGTAATACAAAGAAAATAGGGAACCAAAAGAGAAATAACAATTGTGCGTATTTCCTAAAACGTCTAAGTTGCTGAAATACAGTGAGGAAAAAACAAGATTTAAATATACAGATAAAAGTTTTTATAATTTCAGTTTATATTTAAATGAAAACAAAGAACAAATTAGGTACTTTTTGGTGCCATGCTTTTATTTAAATGAAAGGAAAAACTACACTGTACCACATAAGTAGCAATGACAATATTTTACAGCACAGCATTTGAAAAAAATATGGAAGCTATGCTCCATAGAAGTGGACAAGTAAGCACACAATACACTGTACATTTTTTAACAGTGCCCATTAAATCATAATTAAATAGCTGAATTTGGCTTTAAACAGCCAAATAATAAAAACTAACAGTCATACTAAAATAAAAAAAAAAATTTCAGTAGCTATCATGACTGTTAGAATCTGAAATTTTGCTCCAAAAACTAAGATGAAAGTTTGGCAATTCAGTTGTAGCAACAATAATACCCCTGATGAAAGCACCAGTGTGTTCTGATAAGGTCAGTGATAAATACTGGCCTTTATGGAAAGCTTTTTTTTTGTTTTTGTTTTTTTTGTTTTGTTTTTTAAACATGATCCCAACCAAAGATCCACTGTAATTAGAAAATTTGCAGGCTTAAAAAGGAAAAGCATATCTAGTTTTACTTTTCCTGCATTCAGTAAAACTTTATACTGCGAGCAATGAAGTTTTCAACTGCATTATTCACATTCTACTTTTAGACACCGCACAGATCTTTAACCTGTTGACAAATGTAAATTTCATAATACATTCAGATATATTTAAAATTATTCAAATAAATCCTCTGTCATGTATTTAAGTTCACTTTGATTAGATGGATGTATGTCTTGATGGTGTTGCAAATGTTCAGTTAAATCATAGCACAGGATTTAGAAAGAAAAAGCCTCCCATGATAAAACTTCTTTTGAAGTTATTCACCATATGTGTATCAGTTAATTCCAACCGCCTCGTTTCTTGAACCACTGCATATTATACACAATTTCATATGGTTATTCAAGGTGTTCCTACAATGGTATTCGTAGGAGCTGTCTAACAGGCAGAATGTGCAAACCCTCTTTCCCCCTTTTTATTATTATTTATATACTATATACACAATATGTATACACTTGAAATATAAGAGTTACATATTCTGGTCATATACATGCAAACAGTAGGAATCAGCTAACCACAAATAGTTTTGAGCCACATACATATTAAACATGTATTTTAAAGTGTTTTTTTTTTTTACAGTTTTAACAAATATACATAAATATAACATAAATTACAGTAAAACTGACAGGATTTTTGAGAAAATGTTTATAACCCAGATGCATTGATGCCTAAGGCCTTATAATAATTTAAAAAAGTACTGTTCTAAACTGTTTAATGACATCTCATTCCTGTGCATCTTTCATATAAGTAAATGAACATCATAGTAGTGAGGCTTTATTTCTCTCAAAGCAGTTTAATGAGAGAAATATGAACATAGTTTTAGTCTCTACTCCGCATGAAACAGAATGGACTACATACTTATAGTACAATACTGTCTTATGTTTATGTAGTTGTCACAACACTGAAACAGAACAGAATCACAAATCATTCAAGTCTTTTCCTGAGAATGAGATTTTTCCCCTAACTAATCCTCTGGTGTACATTGACAAAATAGCCACAGATTTAGGGGAGGCTTCAAGTTTGTAGTTTTTTTCAGAACAGTGCTGTTTGTTAAAAAAAAAATCGTAAGAGAGAAAAAAAAACCCACTGAAACAGACTAGTGATCTGTAAAATAATCAAACACTGTTTTGGAATAGAACGCAGCCCTTTGTAAATAATACTGAAATATGCTCCAAGTCTGTTTTTGTAAATGGTTATATTATAAATTTATTGAAATGTCATTCAGGCTTTCTGCCGTATGTATTTAAAACTAATAAGCATCACAAGACATCATCTGTTAGAGTGTGTCAAGAAAGCCATTTACTTAGACATCCAGAAAACTCTTTATCAGATGTCTATTCCCTGGAAAATTGATGCAAGTCTGAGATGGTAGATCTGAAGGCAGGAAGAACAGATAGTGGCCAAGATCTTAAAATAATGGGAATTAGAAACAACTTCTGAAAGATCTGAGACTTAGTGAATTATGTGATTCTTCTGAATATTTTTAGTGTTCTGTCAGGCAGGCATCAGGGATCTAGCTCTGAATGTTTTAGTAAGCTGCTGTTCCTTCCGTGGAGAAGCAGTGACTGACCGTATACTCGCTCTTTATCTGGAACAATGCAAAATAATACACATTTGCTTAAACTGTTTAAGAAGGCTACCAAATCTTTTTTCTTTGTATTTTAATGGGATTATGAGCAAGCACATGGTCAGTCATTACATCGCGGATGGTAACTTATTAAAACAGGAGTAACTGCATGATCTAACTATACCTTGAGTTGTTAATCAGTTCATTTGAAGGATACTTCTCTCTAGTAACTTCTCTCTAGTAACTTCTCTCTAGTATCTTTAGATAGCATCTACAGATGTTTACCTTAGTGTTCAGTCTATAAGCAAACCAGTATTATTTAACTGAAATGGAATTAGAAGTATTCAGGGGAATGAATCTTGATTTTGGTACAGTATACAATGAGGATCCTGCAGAACAGATCCATTCAGCTATTCTTCAGTGACACATAACTTACCATTTAGTCTTCACCGTAAGAGTCAATATGTAAAGTTCAATAGTATCGAGGATATTAAGAAGTATTTCTTTAGTGAAAAAACAAATATTTCAAGACAAGCACAAGTACAAACGTATAAGGCAACAGATGTAAAAAAAATATGTAGTTTGAGTCACTAAAGATGAACATTCAGTGCTTCAGTGTATCTAATCAAAATACAGAGCAAATATACTCTATATATTGTATTAGCACATACAAATCTCCACACAAGTCAAACATTTCCATAATCACTTGTAAGTATCACCTAAGTGATAATCTTCTGTACTCCTAAATATTGTGTTTACATTCCAGTTGGGCATGATAATAGAACTTGGTGTCCAGTTTTAAAGAGTCTCGCTGGCAACTAGAAATCTATTTCCTACAGGCAGTAAAGATGAAGTGCAAGTTTATCATAATTGTCTGAAGCAAAAACTGTTCCCATCTACTATGCCTTGGTAGGTAAAAGTTTCTTAGGAGTTACTGGTCTCTTGGTTTGCCACAAATGGCTGTGAATGGTAATTGCATCAACGCTAGCAGACAAAGTTTTAGCAGGTATGTGGCTAAACTGCTTCCTGTCAGAGTTGTATTTATACAGTCCTTCTATCATTTTCTTTGTGATAGATTTGGGACCTATCCCCGTCAATTTATTGATTTCTTCAGTATCAGGGCAGTACGTATACAAAGATCTGAACTGGCATCCTGAATCCCGGAACAAGATTAAGAAATTATTGGCATCGGATTTTTCCATTTCCTTTAAAAGAAAGAAAGAAAAAAGGTTCACCGTATGAATGTTGCATTGCAGTTAGAAAGCATTCAACATTTTTGGATTTTCATTTTTTTTTCCTATCAGAGCTGATAAGTATATCTAACACTTTCCATTAAAAGACCTTATTTTCTGTCATTACAATTTGCTCCGCTTCAACTATTTGAATTTTGACAAGGTAGTATCTTTCTCAGGCAAAACCTTATTCAGACAATTTTAGCTATACCTGTTTAGCTGTCCCTGAGGAACAGGCATCCTAAAGGATTTTTTTTTCCCCCAAATAAAAAATGTTACAGCCATTTCATCAAACAAGTCTAACACTTTTAAGTTTTGGATCAGGAACTTCAGAGATGTCTAGATGTCTGAAAGATCCTTCAGTTATCATCCTCCAGGGTTTTCTGTCATCTTTAAATCCACTCAACTTTGGTCAAACTGTAAGGTCAGTTGAAGTGTATTAAGCAAAGGTTCTTTATAAGCTGAAATCTTCAAAGATTCCTGTTCCATCCCTATATAGCTTCTATGGGACATGTGCTGTGAACACCTACGACTTCAGCCAAGTGACTATGCTGCATCCTAGAGTTAAGCACGACCTTTTTACAACTGTTCTTTCCTGCGGTTTCTGGGGGTTATTATGCTCCCAGTCACTGGACCTGAAAGAGATTGTCTCAGTGTCTCACTTGTCATTTTTGGAAAACGTGGGGAGAGAGAGAGAAGACAGCATCTTGACGTGGAGGCAGAAGAATTAAGAAGAGTCAAGGGGGCAGAAATACTGTCATGAAATTTGCTCCAGAAATGAATTAAATCCAGATTCTAAATACCTGTGTTCTCTGACCTATTTAATCTGTCTGATTTGTCACAGTTGATAAAAGGAACAGTCCCGTTTCTCACCCTCAAACTCCTGGCTGTTCCTTTTGCATGGAAAGATATGTCCCTGAGTTCTGACCCTTAGAACATTTGTGCATCTTCAGAAAGGTTTGTACTAGTATAAGAGAAAACGCTGGAAAGCACCTTTCTGTGGCAGTAAGTCCTGAATTTGTCCTGCTGTTTGCAAACAACAGAAAATTCTATCAGGTATGTATTTCACTCCCTTCTGTTCATAAACACAGAGCATAGCAGCTTACTGCTGGGATCTACTCAGTTCAAGGGGTAGAAAGTTGTGCTTTAGTTCTAAAGGTCCCAGTTTGAGGACTGGTATGTATAAAATGGATATTTTTAATTATGGAAAACAACTTTGTGAACAAATTATCAAAATCTTGATGTTGAAGTTGCCATATTAAGCAGGGAGTGACTATCAGTTAACATGTCTATTAATTAATTCAGCTTCCCGTGCTGTGAGTGTAGTGTAATGTAATAACTATTGTTTCTGCAGTACTACTGAATCTTTCAGTCTGCAGAGGAAGCGGGTCACAGAGGTACTCAAGCCTTTTAGTAAGAGGTGACAACCTCTGAAGATTCCTTTCAATAGTATACTTGCATTTTTTTCCAGTATCTTAACTGTGGTTTGATTTAGGCGTTTATGCTTTCAGGGAAAAAATACCCTTACCTCCAATATCTTTTTCTTTTGACCTTCATTTACTTTTCCAGCCAAGCAGCAATGTGCCAGAGCATTCTGAATTATATACTTATTGGATTTAGCACTGGGTTCTTTGAAGAGCTTTGGTCCTATGGAAGAGGAATGTCAAATGAGCTAAGTTAATAAATCAACAGAGAGTGATTTTAAACGCTCTTAAGCGCTTTGCATGCATAAAAATATCAATCCGGGAATTGAACAGAATTAGGCTAGAAACCACAAATTTCACAAACAAGTAAGCTGTCGCTCCTTCGTTATTTCTGCATCAAATGATTAGACCTAAATTTATTTCAATGTAATTGTCAAGAATGAAACCAGAGATCCTTTCAGCTAATAACAGCTTTGCTTAAAAATGTGTCTTTCATTATCAAATCGTCATTGCTCAGCAGTCTTGGTAAACGTAGCTCATCTCACAGAACCCTTTCTATGAAAAGCAAAATGTTTTGTGTTTCTAAAAGAAAACTTTAGTCCTCTAGGAGAGAGCAAATTTCAAGGGTGACATGTATAACAATCAAGTTGATTCAGTGCTTAGAGTAACTGTACTCTGTCTACCTTAGAACCCCTGAAATGTTTTACTCCAAAACAGGGATGCAACATCTGGCCTGACACTTGTCACGTTATTCTGCCTCTCAAAAGGCTTGATTCATCTCGCTGGCGTAGAAATCTCTGTTTTAATATTGGAAAGATAAGCCTACTTGTGTCAAGGCCACTGGAGAGGAGCAGGCATGTAAGCACCCATTCTGAGCCTTAGAAAGGAATATTACAAGCCATTACTGATTAAATTTAAGATTAAATCTCAAATTCTCTATGCTTTGGGGAAAAAAGGCTAGAATTAACACAAAAAAAGCTGCATGAAATCTGACTGACAGTGTGAAGATATCAAAAACCATGAAAAAAGCCTTCTGTTGAATTCCTAAGAGTTGTATGTTGCTCCATTTAAAAATAAGCTCTACAAAATAATAGTTAAAGAAGATCTGCAGCATTATGGGCCTTCAAGAGAAAACTGAGCAGGACTATCCAATCAAAGTCTTCCTATCACGACTTGAACTTAATTTGAGATGCATCAGGCAGTGCACCAGAAACATACTGACTGAAGTTTCAGGCTTTAAAAACAGGTACTTTCTAATCTTCAGAACAAGCACTTTTGACTTGCTAGACCATAGTCATTTCAGCAGCGTGGAAGAGAGATCAGATTATTTTCAGAACAAACATTTGCTAGCACAGACAGAGCTATGCAGGCCCATCAATCCAACCTGGTCTCCCTACATTTTTTGTAATTCTTTTCTGAACTGACATTAAATTTCAACTCTTCTTGCCTTGGAGAGAATACTGAAATACAAGGAACTACTTGGGAGCCTGTTCACTGTTTGCAGCCTAACTGCAGTTTATCCTCTTTATTTCACATACCACAAGTGTTACTACTGAATCAGTACTTTTATTTTGGATTTAAAATTTTAAAACTGTATTATTAACATCTATTTTAGAGGAGATGAAAATTACATTTCTAAGGAAACGTTAATCAAGTTTTAGGCATTTACACACAGATAAGGGGACACTTTTCATACATAGAGCCACCAACAGCAAGTACTTTTCTGAGCACTTGTCACTGACCTGTGTATTCTGTAGCAGAGGCAACTGAGGAAGTTGTAGATGCATTTTCCCAATCTTTTTCCCCGTTACGACTTCCACAGCGACTTGGAGACAAGAATCCTTCCACAGACTCAGACCTAAAGATTAATTTGAGAATCTATTTTAAAAATTCACATTTTTCAGCAGAGAAGCCTCTAACGTGAAAAGAGAGCAGACTGTATGGAAGTAGAACATTGTAATTTGAATTACAGACTGTAAACCTAAATGCACAATATTTACTGAAGAAATTCATGGATAACTGAGTTCATCTTCTGTATAAAGTATTTTGAATGATGCAAGAAGTTGTTATTTAGGTGAGGTTGATGTCAATAAATTTTGGGCTCTATCCGAGGGAAAGAAAGTTCCAAGAATGTGTTTTAGGCTGTGGAATATTCTAAGTGGAAACCTGGCTACTTTTACATTTGTACTAGCAAAACAATGTCATCTCATATAGTGAACAAGTCAGTTCTCGATCGGATGATGAATGCAAAGTAAAAAATTATTTCTTTTATACTTATCGCTACAGCAATTGTCAGTGAGAACTGCTAAATTTAAGACAGCAAAACAATTTTCTTTCTAATTTTTGTTTTCACAAGCAATACCTTCCGGTGCTGTAATTCTTCAGACCTCTCAAACATATGTAATTTCTCTTATGAAAGATCTAAATAAGATTTTGTCATGTTTTCTTAAGTTATTACAAGATATTGGAAGTTCTTTTGATTGCGGCTACTGCAAAAGCCAGTCAAATTTTCATCTTGAAATGGAAGCTTTCCTGAGTGAGAAGAAAAGCATTGCTAGCATGAAATAAGGAAGAAAGTGATTTTATAATGACATTTCTCTGCACACCCAAATAACCTCCAGTAAAGTCAGCAATAGCTGAAATTCAATTTATAATATATTCTACACCTTTTGTATCACTGAAATTCACTCAGTATGATCATCAAAAGAAAATTCTGACCTGAGGAAAAGGCAAAAGTGTGGGTTTGGAAATATACTGGAAATTCTTCCAACTCTTTTTTCTCTCAGCAATTTTTAGTGAATTTTAAACTTTTAAAAAATCAAACCTCTAGGTCAAATCTGAAACCATAGGAAGATGTACTGTTCAGTACAAGCATAGTACAGCACTGCACAACTAAAACTGTACAGCTAAGGGTCATCTCCTGTAATGTCTGTCTAAAAAAGGTACATCAAGCCTCTTCTAATAGCTAATATAACTATAATAAATCCCCCTCTTAATCAAAACCGATCATTTTAAAAGATGCCAAGAGGTGTGAGCATATTTGGACCGTTTTATTAGTTTCTAAAGTAATAACCAGAGAGTCAGTTCTCAAGATATCAAGGAAACTGAAAGGCCAATTGAGAACAGCTGCAGGGCTGTCAGAGTTGACAGGTAATGCACAGTAACCATAAAAATATGAGATGTGATATAGTAACAGATAGTACTCCTAATCAAATCCCTCTTCCTAGCTTGCCTTTCTTCCTTCTTCCTTTTCTTTAATACAAAAATTAGTATTTCTCTGAATATAGTTAAGTAATTATATGGAAATAATCATTTTTTCCTCTGAATTATAATACAGATTTTGTGTATGAGATTAAGATCATTCTGTTGTTCTGTCTTTTATTATTTATTGTGTTTTATTGTTATTGTATTTAAAATTATCTCATTTCCAGGTATAAAATAAATAAATTCTGCTTCTATGGGAAAAGAAAAAAAAAATCAGCAAAGAAGCTGCTATGTTAAAAAAGGAAAAAACAAGTTAGGTAGCTGCACGTAGCATTCAGGTGTTAATAAAATACGCACAAGATGAGATCTAAATGCAAGCAGTTGAATTAAAGAGACTGTGTGAACAGCATTATGTTTTGACCTCCTTTATAGCTGCCCAACTGGTTTACTCAGCAGAATTTGTGAAACAAATGACTGTGGCTCAGTTCCTAATGCCTTACAGTGGAAACAATCAATGTCTCAGATCAGAAAAACATACCTGTTCTTGGAGTATACAAAATATACACATTACCTCTTTAAAATTCATGCTAGCTTTATGTAGCTGATTATCAAATTTTATTAAATTAAATGGTTATTGTAGCTTTACCTTGGTGTTCGCTTGCCTGACTGCACACTCTCATTGTCCCCTGTATTCAGCGATGCCAATGAAAGACTAGATACTGAAAAAACACGATAAAGCTGTGAACCTGGATAAAAACAAAATTAAAGTTTATAAAAACCTATGCAAGTAGAAGAGTCTGTTCATTAGACCCAACACCAGCATCAGAAAATTGGTAAGAGTTTTTATATGAAACTCTTACTCCTACATATGATATACCTGCATGCATATGTGGTGCATTTCATGTAAACGTTTGCAGACACCTAGCCAATTAAACAAATGCAGCAAGCTGGGATAGTCTGGAACTAAGCATTAACATGAGGCATGGACACAGGAATATGGCCACTATGCAAATCAAAGAACGCAAACAAAGTTTAAAAGCCCCCCATGAAATCGAGCTAATTATAACTTAATTTAAGGCTTGGAACAGATTCTGGGAAGGCAGCAAGGGAGTATTTTAAATTACACTGGAAGTCAGAGGGAAGCAGCTAGAGGAAATGCAGTTAAACAACAAGGCTATATGATGCTATAACAGAAGGGATCAGTGAACAGTCAGGTTACTTTTTTCTAATTGTGAATTGGCAGTACTTCTTCCAATCAGTGCAGCAGCTATTTCGTATCTAACAGAATGCTGATTTTTTACACAGGATTACTGCTGCTAGGCTCTTAACTATGCAGGCAGTAGGTGAGTGAGTGAAATAGAATAAAAACACAAAAGTATAAAGGTAACTTTTCTATTCTAATTCTGTCTGTATTGAAGAGGAGCTTAAGTACTCTTACCTTATAGTCACCATTTTATTTATCAATCTCTTATCTCCCAAGTGTTATTCATTCTTAGCTCTACAGGTGCAAGAAGAGATTAGTGACTGGGAAGAATACGTGGGTGTCTATGAAACTTAAGTCACATATGTTCATGCTTCTGCTAGGTTTTCATTCAGTTAAGCTTTTTGTTTGTTCATATATGCATGCATGCATAACAGGAAAGTGGCATTCATCTTTTCATTTCTATTTGCAAATTTTGCTTTCTGATTTGGTCACATGCAGCTTCAGTTTAGCACAAGACACTATTAAATGCATGTGCTTGTTAGTACCAAAAAAAAAAAGCTGGTGTTTTAGCATGAACAGACTCTTTCCGCAGTAATATTTGTTACCTGGTGGACCTTTGACTGGTGTTTTAGGTGATTCAATATGATCTCTATGAATAGATTTTGGACGTGGCTTTTTTTGTTTGGTTGAGAGGGAGCGTGGCTTTATAACTGTATCCATTTCTTCCATAAGCTTTAGTTGTTTCCTTCTCATATATTCTTGCTTAATGAATTCTCTTCGTGCTCGTTCATCCTCCTTCCTCTGACGTTCTTCTTCTGTTTTGCGTCTAAAAAGATCAACAAATAAATTCAGTAGTAGAAACGTTCCAAGTCAATAGTTCTAACCATCACGTTACCAGTAGGCATTAGATTTTTGTAACTTTACAATTCTCAGACATCAGTAAGAGAAACTTACTCTTTTACAATTTTCAGATAGCGTAAACTCTTTGGGATGTTGTTACTAGCAAAATCAATACCATGTTTATTAGCTGAGTGGGCACTGTGTATTTGTGCAGGAAGAAGCCCAAAGTGATAAGCTCTCCCTCAGAAGACGAAGCAGAGGGGTGAGTAGAGCTCTGAGAAGCTTCACTAAGGCCAGCAGGGCTCATGTTGAGTCTGAGCGACAGGCTGACGGCCCCTGCTGATTTCACAGGACCAACTGGCATGTGTTTTCAGCTGGGCTCTTCAGCACATCCGGCTCTAGGATTAAGGATAGTCTTGGATATTAAGACTGACTGCAATTTTTGACATGGAGGTTACAATCTTAACTAAAGCAGACATTTTTATGTTCACTGTTACTGATCATTTGGATCAGGGCACATGGTTAGTTTTACCTTGTTTCTTCCTTCTTATGCTCTAGCTCTGCTTCCAGCTGTTGCTTTCGAAGCAGAGTCTCTCTTTCTCTTCTCAAACGCTTCTCCAGTAATGCTGCTCGTTTCATTGCCATATCATTTTCTGCCTTTTGATCATCCTAGCAGCAATAGTATTTGAAGGAAAAGGACCCAAAAATATTAAGAGCTCTGAATTCAGCAACTGATTATGCCAAGTCATTAGAAGTTTAATTCTGTAGACTGGGTTGCAATATCCTAACATACTGCTGCAGTATTTGAAATAAGCTTATTTTACAAGATTTGTATTAAAACTATTTAAACTTTTCATAAACAAATTCTGCCCAAGTCAAACATAAAAGTTAACTAGCTAGGTGAAATATTCCAGTTCCAGAATCAGATCCCGCACTGTACAAACTCCTGTATTCAGCTTCAGAAGATTCCACATGTCTGGACATGGAGGTAATTCATCACGAAAGGCAGTAACTACGCAGCATAGGAAAGTAACTTGCGCTGATCAAGCCAGGGGTTTTGTTAGCACTGAGGAACACTCTTAGACAAGCAAGGCACATCTCAGATACGTGAGGTAAGATTTTGGATATTCCAAGATGGAAATTCAAAATCTTGATGGCTTTCGGTGTCCACACCACGCTCTTACAATGTGCGTTATAGTTAAAAGCCTGACTAAATAGAACTACTTCATAAGACAATACAGAGTGTTCTCAAATACCAACTTTAAAAGGGAGTCTTGGAAGACTGTAGTCCCTCAGCTAGCCAAGAGGGGGAGAGTGCAATTCAGAGACATTGAATACATGCACGCATAGAACAGGCTAGAGGTACTTTACAAGCTTTCGTTTAAATTTGGGTGAGTAGGATGAGAAGATGAGGGAGAGGATGTGAGCACGTTTAACTAAGGGCACTAACACTTACGTTAAAAATAAATCTACATTCAGCATAGCATGCATCTTCCTGATCAAAAACCCCAACTATGAATGGAAAGGGATGCTCTGGCACGCTTGGAACTGCAGTGTGGTAAAATCTGACCACTCCTACAATGACAAGGGCAAAAGATAACGCTCACACTTTTAAGAGTCACAGAACTATCTGCTTTGACTTCAATGGAAAGTCTTCACTGAAATGCCATATCTGAATTAAGAAGTCCCCTTTCAAAGGAAACTGTGTAGCAAACAAATACCCACTTAGTTCTCTTACCTTAAAAAAGAATCCACAACACACTTTCTGGTCATCCTCAAATTGTTCTCTATCACTCTCACCTTCATATTTCTCAACAGATACTTCAGCTTTTTCTGGTGGCTTCAAATCTGATAGGGAAACTTCAATTAAGTTAGCTGTTTTGGGAGCTGTTGTTGGTTTAACTGGTTGGCTTAGCTGATCTTCGTTTGGGGTGAGGCAGACAGTTTCTGTAATGGGCTGAGATAATACTTCAGAAACATTAGATTCAAGAGGCTTAACCTTTTCTTCCAACTTCTGTTCACACTGTTTCAAAATGTTTGGTCCTTCTTCTTTTGCTGCGTCCTCTGCAGGCTTGACTTCCTTCAAAAGATTTCCCTTTAACTGAGGTTCATCTATATGTTCACCATCATCTCCAAAGCAAACAAATGATCTAGTCTGAATAGGAACCTGACTTGGAGAAAATCTTCTCAAACGAGGAAGGCTATCCACAGAGCGTGGGGCAGTCAAGGTACGATTTAAAGGTGTTATTTTTAATTCATTTGGCCTAGGAGTCCTTTGCATTTTAATGGGAAAAGAAGCATTCTTCCTGTTGGAAGACTGTGGGGACTGATGTGTAGAGCGAGGAGAATCCTGTGCAAAAGATGCAATGGGAGATGGAGTTCCCATTTGCCTCGATGAAGGCTTAAACTCCCTAATCTGCTTCTGAGGAGAAGGCTGAGGGGGAGAAATAACCCAAGCCTGCTGTTCCCTCATTTGCATCAACATCTCTTGTTGAAGGGACAGACGTTGCATTTCTTGTTGTAGAAAGTGTAGGGA